TGATTTCCACTCTGATATTTAGCTCGTGCCTCTCGAGAAAGCAAGGGGAGTCAGGAGTCAACAAGTGCGGCAACCACGCTGGAATTTTTTAAGAAGCCCCCAGCCACTGTGTGGTATTTAGGCATTTAGTTAAAAATCTAGCCCGTAGCAAAGCAGGAACGATTCTTAAATCCACTGCTTTCTGCTGACTAAAAAGAATTAAAACCCACTTGGTTGTGACTAGAAGCCTAAACAAAGATTTCATGCATTCTAATTATTCACTTTAAAATTACATCGGTGGAATCTGCATGAACTTCTCAAATGTAACTACACAGACTAGCTCTCCACTTAACCAGTCACTGGAGACAGAATCGGGCTTCACTAAGGAGTCTGAAAGAGAATGAAACAGAAATACAAAATAAAAAAATACAAACATGACAGTTCTTCAAGTTAATGCTTCCTGCTTGCCAATTTAAACCAGAATTAAAATAAGTAAATAAATTTATTCCTTTGTTCAACAGCAGAATGTAATAATATGTTCTGAAAAGCATGAACATTAAAATATTGTAAGGCTTTGAAGTCTGTGACAGAGTAACAGACACTTCTGTGCAAGTTTAAAACAAAAAATAAATACTGAGCACAAAAACTGGATTCTCTCCACTTCATGGTAATTCCCTTGCATTCCCTCCCTCCAGGGAGGTTAATTGTAAGCAGATTTACAAATCTGAACATTGCTTGAGTGCACTAAAGCAATCTGGAACACTAATTCTGTGCCTTTATAAACATAATTTTGCTCTATTATCGCTCACTGCAGATGAGGGTTATGCCAGTGTGGGAGGGTTCTCTGCAGCACACCCCGGTATGTGGGCTGGGTGCGTGTCTGAGGGGACCCCAAAGGTCACTAAGCCCAGCGACAGCCCTTGCAGCCTGCAGATTTCATAAAAGCAGATGGAAGTGGAATAGTGGCTGGGCTAGGCCGAGCAGTTGTGGCAGAAGGAAGCTCCATCTTCTTCCTTGTTGTACCCCAAAAGAAATACAGTTTAGCTGTTCTTTAAGGGCAGGCTGCACCTCACAAAGTGGATGTTCCAGCACGCTGCTTGAAAGAGCCCGTTCAGTGCATGAGTTCTGCCCAGCTTCCCGCGTGTTCCTTCCCTGCGGGCAGCAGCCCTGACCCCTCGCCAGCTCCTCAGCACCCAGCTCTGCATCCACGCAACAGCCTGCTGCTTGTTGACACCTGGGGTCAGGCCAAGGAGGCTGCTTCACCATCAGCTCAGAGATCACGTAATAGAAGGGCAAAGGTTAGTTTCCTAAGGCGCCCGGTCACAGAATGAGCCACTGTCAGCCTCAGCAGCCTCCTCACTTCAGCAGCAGCGAAAAATAATAGAAAAGAATCCTGTGTCATCAACATTTGTCTCTACGTGCTGATTAAAAAAATTAACATCCTGGAAGGGTAAGAAGGATAAAAATGGGGATCAGTCTCAGCTGCATCTACACGCTCCTGAGCACCCACACGTGAACTGATGTGGGATGGACACACAGAAAGCCCTAGACCTGATGTCGAGCTGTGGAGGGGCTGGCTCTGGGCTGCTACACCCAGAGCAGCAGCTCAGGCTGCAGGGACACAGGCTCAGGATTTTCTGTAGAAGGGGGGTCTGACAGAAGACAGCAGGGTTTGATTTCAAGCTGTGTTTTGCCATGTTGTAGGATGATAAGACAGTCATCACTAAGTCGTTTCCCCTCACACCCTTTGTCTCGGCTATTGGAGCACAAACTTTCTGCAACAGAGACAGCACAAGGAAAGACAGTCCCTACACTAGTGAGATCCAGTTTCAGCGGGTCCCGCAGATACTATCGCAAGGCAAACAGCTCCACTCCTGCCCTGGAGGCAGTCTTGTTACTGACCTCTCTAGATCAAATCTGGGAACTAGCCATGGGGTGGAAGATAACTTTTTTTTTTCCCCCTGAATGAACAAAACAACCTATAAAGAAATGCAAATTCGGTGCATTCCTTAATCATCTCACTTCATTCTCTCAAACAAGATAGAAGCATAGAAGAAACCTCAGTACCTATTCTCTTCCAAAACACGGTACCTCCATTCTTAAAATCTTTCTTATCACACTGGCTAGGCTGCCAGTTCTCATACCTGATGTTTGTGCTTTTGATGAGCTTTTGAGCTCATTAAGCTCAAAAGGAGTCACATATGCAAGTACTTTTGCATGTCCTTTAAAGGCAGAAAAAATAAACACAGGACTGTAGTGTTTAAGACCAGATTCTTCTGTATATTGAAATGCTGCATGTATTCCTCCTTAGCTCCTGGGAACAGACCTTGGGGTTCCTATTTGCAGCTGCTCACCAGGATTATGACTGGTTTGAACATTCCAGACTTGTTTCCCTATGAGACTTCTCTTGATACTCTTTTCTGTCCTTTGTTCGTGGCCTTTACATTACAAGGTAACAGAAGTGTAAGAAGACAGAAAAATAAAATGTGAAGAAGGTACTGGGGGAAAAGAAAAACCTCTGTCTGATAAGAAAAAAGCTCACTGACAAATGTGCCTTTGTTTACAAAAACTTCTAAAGAAATGGAGCTGAAACCTGGAGACATGTATGAAAGAAGGTCAGATAAGAAAATATCTTAAGATATTTTTTCAAGTATCTTAAGAGATTAAAAGCTCCTGTTTATGAAGGGCTAACACAGAGTCACTTCAGACTTAGTTCTTAAACCCAGAAGACAAGACACACTGTCTTCAAACTGATGACATTTAAATAACTTCTGTATTCCTTTGCAAACACCTTCTACAGGAATGGAGCCAGAGGACATCCCTCACTTCTCCCCGGGATCCTCTGTTCCGCCTCCAACCTGCCATCCCCCTTTCAGTGCCTGTAGTGGTTTGAGATAAAGGCAACTGCCAAAGGGCAATTTCACTCAGTTCACCCAAAGAAACAGGCAGAGACAAACCTTAACTCTTGCTGGCAAAGCTCCAGCTATCCTATGGGAGAAAACAATCCATCACCTGAAAGGCCATAAGTCTTTATACTTTACCCCAAGTGACTTGGTTAACATGTTAGAAATACTGCTGAGATTTCCAAAACCTACTCTGATGTGACGTTACAGCACTTAATAAGATTACTACTTCACGTCAGCAATAAACTCCTTAAGAATTCAAGACCAACAAGCCCTCAGGTGATAAAAAGTGTTTTTCCTGTATGTCCAAATGCATCATACTGTTTTTATGAAGGAAAAAAAGCTTAATGTGCACATTCATATATGCCAAATACCTATCAGTAAAATCCTCCTCATTCAATCTTACACCTTGGTGCAACTTTGTATTTAGCCTGCCTTCCTTCTCCTTTACTCCTGATGGTCTTCACTCCAGTAAATCTATACATAAGTATAGATAAGTGCACCTCAGGCCCATGAGAAAACTAGAGAACCCAAAAAAGCCAGTGAAATAATGGAAATCCTAAGACTTGCTTGCTCTCCCCCTCCCCCCAGTTGCTTGAAACTTGATGTTGGCCCTTTTTAATAACCACAATTTCAGAGTTCAATGAAAAGGAGTTCAAAACATTGTGAAGCGTTCTTAAAGGTGTATCCAGTTCTTTCTCTGCTCCTCAACACTTTTCCTCTGAGAGGAAATGAAGGAGAGCGTGAAAAAGAAAAAATAAAAGGAGGTGCAACCAGGAAGGACCGGTGTGACTTTGGGACCTCTTCAGCTCTCCTCAATACAGAGAACGGAACTTCTGGGAAGTCCCATGCCATTCAGGAAGGAGAAATGCTGAGGATGAGAACTGATTTAAGTCACAGTTCAGTCATAAATGTAATTTTTTTTTTTTTCTGTGATCTTAAAAGTCTCTTCAAGGAACTTCTGTGGGTGAATTAAATTAAAGAAGTAGTAGTGTTGGGCATTTTCTCCTCCTCTCTTATTCACACACTGCAAATTTCTGTAGTGTTTATTGTTGGAATTGACTTACTGAAATCAGGAACATCACTTATAGAGGTAAAAACCCTCAACAATCAAAATTAATTACACCAAAGATTACTACTTTGTTTTGTTTTTTGTTACTGCAATCACTCCAATAAAAAATGAGATAGTTTTAGAAGCATTACCCCTTTGAGATTTGAGACTGGCTTTTTAAGCTAAATTTTCATGCTTGACAGGGATACCAATGAACTGGAAAAAGAGAAAAATCACCTATTTCTACTTGAATATTTTAAAATGTTCATTTAAAGGGCAAACCAGAGATTTCTAGAAAGGAAAGGAAAATCCTTTGGGTTTTCTGTACACTTGGCAGCACTTTTACATAGTCAGGTTTACTGGCTTTGCAGGTTGAGAAGAGGATTTGCCAGTTTGTTTTGCCCTTCAGAGCAGCTTGAACCAAGACTCAAGGTCATTGTACCACCAGCTTTGTAAAATGGCACAAACTGGTGCTACCACTAACAAAAGAACCTCTGGCATGAGCACCTGCACTGGCACGAGGGAGAAGGTGCAAGGCTAAAGAAGGCTGCTGCCTGCTGCACCACCAGGAAGCCCTTAGGAAATGGCAGCCTGGCCTGACACCAAGCTCAGCACAGCCATGAGCTGGTCTGCAGGGCAGAGGGAGGACTGGAACTGAGCTTAAGAAGCCAGTGCTTGTTCGCTGTATCCCCTTGTCCCAAGAAGCTACTTCTAGAGCAGAAGGGAGATAATCCAATCTTAAAGTTCACTGCTTTTGTTCTTCTAGGAAACCAGGTGAAATAACCCACTTGGGAGAAATAACCCACTTCTCACAGGGTAGCCATGTCGCACAGGCAGCACGTTGCACTATAAGTTCTTAACTGATGATGGCATTTAGGCTGCAAAGTTAGGAACTCAGAAGTTTCTGAAGTACAGGTCTGAACCTGTGTGTAAAATTAATTGCCCTTTCTGTGCATGCGAATGCAGATACTGGCTTCAATCACATAATCACATACTTTTCTTCCCCTGGGACTACCATATATACGTAGGCTATGACCAACAATAAATTGTTTCTGAAGACAACTTACATTCTTTGGACATTCCCACTTCAAAGCACTTCTGTAGTCTGCAGTACTGGCAGCGATTTCTGGTAACTTTATTGATAACACAGTTTTTATCTCTATGACATGTGTAAACCATGTTCTTCTGGATACTCCTGCGGAAAAAGCCCTGAAATCAAGAAAAAAAAGTAAAATAAACTTTTGAGCTTCCCATAACCCTTAGAGTCAGGCACCAACATTGCTTGAAAATAGCAAAATAAAGCCAAAATTATGGCTGGAGTATGACATCTTTAAAGACTCAGTCTTCTTATAATTTACTACTGGTTTTATGCAACACAAGACTCATCTCTTAAATAAAAGCTAATTAAATAAGGACAAAATAAACAAAACTAGAACTAGAAACAGCATTCAGGAAATAAGTCCTAGATTTTAGAAGAAGCTGAAATAAAAATTATTTCAGCTTATGGATGTAGTAATGTGTTGGGTAAACATCAGCTTTCCTAACAGATCCACTTGGAAGTCAAGCACTCATCCAACAACCAATAGCCTCTCTCAGCCTAAAGGTCCTGTCTATTTTTGTTACTGCAGAGTTTCTCTAGTTCGAAGGCTGCATGTAAAATGAGAAACAAATTTGAAACCCAGGTCTCTTAGCTGCTGGAACTCCTACAGCAGTTAATGAGGCTTCTGCAGGTGGAAGAGTTCCAGCATCAGGTTATTGAGTTTTGAACTTGTAAAAGTTGCCAATTACAGCATTTTTTTCTTATTCAGATACAGCTGTGAAAATAATCAAGTAATTAGAATGATCTTGAACAGAAATTGAAGAGAACTAGAGGTCTGGTTTGTACTTAGGGAACACCATTTGACCAGACTCCTCCTTCAGCAAGTAAAAGACAGAAAAGCAGCCATAAATGGCAAGGTTAGCTGGCATGGAAAAAAAAGGCAAAAAACAAGTTAATTCTTTATCTGCTCTAAATCCCAAGCTTTAGATAATATCATATAATAATGAAGAAAAAAAAAAAAAAAAAAAAAAGAGGATTACTTTAAGCATTTTAGAGCTCAACCCACAGATATTCAGCGAAAGTATTTTTGCAACAGACATTTGGAAATTTGACAACACTATTTAACCTTCTCACTCAGATTTTAAAAATCGTTTCAGCAAGCAGCAGGGTCAAATTTCAGTCAACATCATATCATTATGGAAGAATAGTTAGCAATTTAAAATTTGTTGGAGGGCTTAAGAGGCTAAAATTCTTCAACCAGCCACATGTTTACACCCTAAACAGGGAAGCAGTAAACTTGATGCTGCAGAGGGTATCTCTGTGCCCACAATGCATTTGTCCAAAGATGCAATCGTGGTAAGCTATAAAATAGGCTCTCCTAGAAGCACTCACCAAGATATGCAAGTAGTTAAAAAAACCAAAAGCCCTATTGTTCACAGTTAACTGGGAGAGTTTCTGGCCATATGATCAGGGTGTGGTAGGGCACACACAGTCAGTAAGGGCTGGTCATAAATTCCTTGCACACCCAACATGCTATAGATGCTAATGTTATGAAAATACCTCAGATTCACTCAGAACTTAAAAATGCCTCCTTAATCACGTAACCACTGGCAATAGTTTTCTTCAGCCCTTGCACAGGCAAGCCTCATCCTGGGGTTAGGTCCTCTGATTTAAAATATATTTAATACTATCACCAAAGAGGTAAATAAAAACTCTTCACTTCTTACTTTTCCTTAAGCTACTGGACACAGAAGAAAAATTTAAAGTTATTTGTTTAGGCTATTAAAACCTCTTAAGTTATCAATAAAACTGTTGTTTTATATTCCACACTTTTGATCATCAAATCTTTTCAATAGAAAGTATGTGAAGCCTGTGTATGTTTGTTTACTTACTTAGAGCTCAACCCACAGATATTCAGCGAAAGTATTTTTGCAACAGACATTTGGAAATTTGACAACACTATTTAACCTTCTCACTCAGATTTTAAAAATCGTTTCAGCAAGCAGCAGGGTCAAATTTCAGTCAACATCATATCATTATGGAAGAATAGTTAGCAATTTAAAATTTGTTGGAGGGCTTAAGAGGCTAAAATTCTTCAACCAGCCACATGTTTACACCCTAAACAGGGAAGCAGTAAACTTGATGCTGCAGAGGGTATCTCTGTGCCCACAATGCATTTGTCCAAAGATGCAATCGTGGTAAGCTATAAAATAGGCTCTCCTAGAAGCACTCACCAAGATATGCAAGTAGTTAAAAAAACCAAAAGCCCTATTGTTCACAGTTAACTGGGAGAGTTTCTGGCCATATGATCAGGGTGTGGTAGGGCACACACAGTCAGTAAGGGCTGGTCATAAATTCCTTGCACACCCAACATGCTATAGATGCTAATGTTATGAAAATACCTCAGATTCACTCAGAACTTAAAAATGCCTCCTTAATCACGTAACCACTGGCAATAGTTTTCTTCAGCCCTTGCACAGGCAAGCCTCATCCTGGGGTTAGGTCCTCTGATTTAAAATATATTTAATACTATCACCAAAGAGGTAAATAAAAACTCTTCACTTCTTACTTTTCCTTAAGCTACTGGACACAGAAGAAAAATTTAAAGTTATTTGTTTAGGCTATTAAAACCTCTTAAGTTATCAATAAAACTGTTGTTTTATATTCCACACTTTTGATCATCAAATCTTTTCAATAGAAAGTATGTGAAGCCTGTGTATGTTTGTTTACTTACTGCTGTCACTTACTACTTTCTTCCTTTGATATTCCCCTAATTGTGATGCCCAGCTCTGCAATAATTGCCAAAGATGCTAACTGGAACTGTGAGAAGTCTATGGCATCTATTTGGTTTAATTCTACAGGCAGAAGGTGTGAGCTGTGCTGGTTCAAGGGTCTCTATACAGCTTATTTGATCACCACTTTTTAGTTGGAAAGGTAGAGGAAGCCAAGAGTTGGAGAGGTAGAGGAAGCCAAGACTAGTAGCTTTCCCTGCAGCCACCCCAGCTTAATCCAGTGTTCGTGTTAATCAACACACCCACCAATGGAGTAACTCTCCTACCCCCAGCCTGACAAGGCAGGAAACAAAATGGCCCAAACAAACAAAAATAACCCTCTCATGCAGCAACTGCCTCACCACAGTGAACACGAGTAATTAAAAAAAAAATCAACAACAAACAGTCCCCAAAGCCTCCTCTTTGCCTGAACAATCTTTGGGGCAGAGGCTGCTGTTCATCCACACTTGTGAGACTTCAGGTTTACTGACATGGGCACTACCTGAAACGAAATACAAGCTTCAAAAGTGTCACCCAAGACAGAAAAGGGGAAACAACGCCCTCCAAATACACCTGTACTTCACCAAAATATAACCAGCAGCTAATGGTGCCCAATGATGGATCAATTCTGATATTTAGACACAACTTCTACACCCTTTTAACCTAGGGTTTAGATACAGGCAACCAGGAAGGAAAGCAGAGGAGCTGACCAGTCCAACAGAAAAAAGGTAATCCGACTTCTGCAGACAGCAAGTATAAAGCATTCATGAAGTCATTACTAATATAAAAGGCTTAAGAAGAATAAACTCAGAAAAAGCAGATCTCCAGGTTGAAATAGACAGTTTTTTCATCAGCCTAACCTCCCCAGGCAATGTCTTACACAGAATGAAAGATATAGACAACAGTATTAATTGTGGAAGCTTAGACTGTTGTTTTACAAATTACTTTTTAACACCTGTAATTTGATTTTCTTCCTAGACTTTCGAAACAGAAAGAAAAATGAACTTGTTTACATAAAATGTTAGAGTGAAAAAAAGCATAATGTGGTCCTGCTCAAAAATAAGGATCTTTTTATTAACAGCATGCTAGTGCCTGCTGCCCAAGTACTGTTCTCTAATACTGGGATACCATTTCTACTAAGATCTGTGGCAACCTCATTTAGAAAATTCAGCAATACATCACTTAAACTATTCCCTCTGGATAGGTACTAAGAAAAATGCACAGATAGGAAATACTACTTAATTTCTTTGCATACAACCTCCAAACCAAACCCACCTCAGGGGCAGTGACAGGGGTTCAAGCCCCAGTGGGCGCAAAGCACTTGTTGGGTGCTGGGGGCTGGTTCCCCACCTGTGCCCACAAGCCTCACGCTGTGTAGCCTCTCATTCTAGGAGACATTGCCAGCAGGGTCATACCCAGAAACACTTCCCACAGTTGACACTAGAATAAAAACTATAGACAGTGTCCTGTATTTATCCCTCTGCAGATGTTTGGACCTCCCCTGCTTTGGTTACCAGCAGCAGCTCGGTAGCAAGAGAAAACCCTGCAGGACACGGAGATGAGCAGAGAGTGTTTGCTGCCTGGTTGAAAAGCACATTTAAACCATTTCAAGGCTGGGTTCCAGATAGCACAGGTATAACACACTGGCCTGTTCACTATAAATAGCAAAGTTAGAAGCAAGCCTAAGTTTTCCTCCCAGTACTTTTTGTCAAATGACTTCCATCTGATCTCACAACCCCAAGGGTTTCTTCAAAAATCAAGAAAATACAAATGTGACCTAACCTGAAGAAGTTGTCTGAAACTTCAGAGATAGCAAACCACCACTGCTTATAAATGAATCAACTTCATGCACTCACTGGCTCTTGGAAAACAAAGCTACTATTTACTGTAATACATTAACCTCCAAAAGAGTCTGTTTGGCTGAATATTTACATGAGCAATTTTTTACGCAAATATTTCAGCATCCCGCCCAAATTATCACCCTGTGATGGGAGATGAGACACTCTATGCCAAAAACAAGCACAAATTATTCTTTCTTTCAAAACTGAAAATGCCTTATGAATATATTAAAATAATAATTCTATGAGACATAAAGCATTACTGTCATACGTAATCATTTTGATAGCACCTACAAAGTACTTGAATTTGAAGTAGAGGAGCCTACTGAAGACTTATCAGAAACAGTGATTTGCTCTAATATTCCTTTTATCCACAACTTTTGAAAGGAACACAGACCTTGTGTTTGTATTTCAGCAAAGACAAAGCTTTGCAGAAATCACACTTAGGAATTAATTCCGTCCTCCTGAGCAGCTTTTATCGGCCTCCTTTACACAAAGCATTTCGGACAAACGTTTCAATTTTTAATCTCATCTTTTCTGCGCGCCACACCACGCTCCTTC